GGACGAACAAAAATAGAAAATGACAACCTTTCAATTAGACGGATGGAGTAATTTTTTATTTTTTATTTTTTACTTAAAAATTAGGTTTGAAATCAAGCTCAAAGACACCCATAATGTAGTCACATATTAGCTGCATGAATTATTGAACTGTTTATTACACTTTGAGCATTGACATTAATAAGTATATAATCAATATTCAATATTATCCAATCAAATTAAATAATTGGGTTTATGAATCATATTATTATTGAATTAATTAAGCCAGGTGGTGTGCATGTGCACTTCACAAGTAGGGCATCAATTAATTAACAATATTTTTAATTTGAGAATATTTATTTTTTCTAATAACCTATTTACAATTTTTATAAATTTTATTCGTTAATTAATTAACATGAATAGATTCTTTGACAGCCTTTTTTTTTTGCTTATCAGTTCATGCATTTTATTGTGCTTTCACATATAACAAAACATTTGCAAATTAATTTACAAAATACTTGCAACTTAATTATTTTAGTGATATGGTAAAAATAGATAAATAAATAAATAAGTGAAAATGAATAAGTGATACTATTATATATATAGACGAAAAATGATAAAATAATATCTTTCACGTGTATTCGATTATCACTTTTATTTTTTATTTATTTCGATGACAAAATATATCATACACATATTTATAGAAGTCGTCATTCTTCACTACAAAAAAATAGTATATTTGTAACGGAATTTCGTTCCTAAAGTTCACGTAGTTAACGTAATTTCATCCATAATTCCGTCTCTAATATCATTAGTAACGGAAAAAGTGTATTTAAAAACGAAAAAATCTCGTCACAAAATTGATATTTTTTTGTAGGGCTTGTTATTTGGCCGCGCGTGGGATAGTCATTGGGTGAACATTACGCTCGGTCAAGGACACATAAATCACTACTAGAAAAGTGTTACATTGTCCCGGAAAATTGTCTCGGCAAAAACCGCCGAGACAATAGTGTGTCGGAGAATTTTTGTCGAGACAAATCAGTGTCTCAACCATGATTTGAGATATTACTGCGACCTCGATCATAATTTCGAAGACTAGTTCATGACAATGCATTGTCGCATCTTTCTCTCAAAACACCACTGACAATAAGAATTGTCCCGACATAGACACGGAAAATACCCCGAGATATAGAATTGTCTTGAAAAAAGTCACCAAAAGTTTTTTTTCGAGAGAATGCATTGTCTAGAAATGAATCACGAAAAAACTCTGCGAAGATATGTTGTCTCAAAATTCATCACGGGAAAAATTGTGAGTATGAATTGTGTTGAAATAATTCACAAAAATACTATGAGAGTTTGAAATGTCTCCAAGTAAGTTACAAAAAATATGAGACTGTGAATTATTTCGAAATAAGTCCCAAAAAAGTACCTCGAGATTTTCAATTGTCTCGAGATAATTTCGCCAAAAAATTTCGAGAGTATGTATTGTCTCGAAATGAATTATGAAAAAACTCTGTAAATATATGTTGTCTCAAAATTCATTACAAAAAAATAATTTTGAGATCTTGAATTGTGTCGAAATTAGTCACAAAAATATTTCGACGTTTGAATTGTCTAAAAAAATCACAAAAAAGAATTCCGAGGGTCTAATAGTATAAATTATTACAAAATCAATCTCAACTTAAGTTAAAATAAATAAAATTTATGAATATATGATATAATTATTTATTTGAAATTAAAACAATTATATAAAAAGTATTACAAAATAAAAAATATATATTTCATATAATCAAAAATTTAAATTAAAAAAGAATAATATTATATGATTATGTTTGATTTATATATCAATAATAATTACTTATTTTATTATAATAATTAATATATCTGTTATAAACAATAACATTAATAATAAATAAATAAATGAATAGATTTAATTGATACTTTGTCCAATCTACGGATAAATGATTTGACAGATAAAATATATTCTTTTTATTATTCAATCTATTTAAAATTAATGAAACTTGAATATATAATTTATATTCAATCTAAACTAAAAATATATATATATACCTTTTTTTTAATAGCATTATTTTTAGGAAAAATTAGTGTATTATGTATTAATTTTTAATTAAATTTATTTATCTATAAATAAATTTAAGTTCAAATATAATTAAAATGCAAAAAAGGTCCTATAGATAAAATATAGCTGAATTTTTCAACGCATTTATTTGTCGGCCCACTCTCCACTCTATGTTCCTATTTATTTTTATCCACAATCACATTTACTCGGTCCACTTATTTTACACAATTCGCATAGCAAACTGCCTTAGTGCTAAAAATCCTAATAGCACGAAGTTATTGTGATCTGTAGCAGCTTCTCCAATGCGGCTCTCTCCTTCTCCGATGCCACTGTCATCTCCTCGTCGAACGCCTGCCACCCGTCCTTGTGCACCTCCTGCATGTCATGGAAGTGATACATAGACATTAAAGACTAAATTGCGAAATTTTTTTACTTATAATTTTAAAATAATCTCCAATTACGTGACTAAAATGATAAAAAGTTCAGTTACGAAGCTAAAAAAATCAATTTATCCTATAAAAAAAAAATAAATATTTAGTTTAATATTTTAAAGAATGTTTTTTTTTTTAAATAAATAGTACTCCCTCAGTCCTAAACAAGGTGTAGCATTTGCTTTTGGCACTGGTTTTTAGGTGGGTAGTATTAGGTATGATAATTTAGAAATTAGGTGATGTGATGGAGAGAAAAATATATATTTTATTTTTTTATTTGGATGATGTGAGTGGATAAAGTGTGAGGTAGAGATTAAGTATAATTAATTATTTTATATTTTAGAAATGTTGCAGGGTGTTTGGGACATACCAAAAATGAAATGTTGCAGGGTGTTTGGGACGGAGGGAGTAGTAAATTTTTGAAAAATTCCAATAAACGAACGCAGCGTTATGAACAAATCCATTGCGAAGCTTTGATTTTGAATAGTAAAATTTTGAATTGAAATAGTTATTTGATGTGATATAAAAATGTATTGATTTGATATTTTGAATGTAAAATTAAATTTTAATATAATATAATAAATGAAAAATAATTGTTTGATTTGATATTTTTGGATATTTTTATTTTGAAATAGTAAAATCAAAATCCAAAATTCTTCATGTAAACACACCAAATTGTATTTTTTAAAAAAATATTTGGGTGAAAAAAACCTTCAAATTAAATATTTATTGTGTAATATTATGGTAAAATTTATATACTCCATTCGTGTAGCTGCAAAGTTGTCATTTAGTTTTTGTGTTATTACATTTGACATTAAATATATTATTATATTTGAATAATTTATTCTACAAATGTCATTGTATTTGTATTATAAGAGACTAATAAATATATTTTTGTCATTTTTTCTTAATTTGTACTACGTATTGATATAATAACTAATATTTAAACATCAATATGCAAAAAATCAATAACAACATTGCAGCGAAACAAAGGAATATATTTTATAATATCATATTAATATATACTCCATCCGTCTACCTTAAAGATTTACATTTACTTTTTGCGTGTTGCTCTTTGAATATTAATTATTATATCAAAATATAGTATAAATTGAGTAAATAAGACAAAAATATTTTTATTAATATCTTATAATATAAATATAATGATATTTGTATACAAATTTATACAAATATAATAATATTTTTAATATTAAATATAATAACGCAAAAGATAAATGTAAACTTTTAACACAAATCGAAGAAGTATTAAAAATATTATTTTATTTAAAACCCAAGCCAATTCTCACATCTATAAACCAACACGGCTGAAGAATTTCCAGAAGCTCCAGGGACCCCAGCAACGGTCATAATATTAAATAATACTCCCATTGTATTAATATACGTAAATTATATAACACTTTTTGTATTTTTAATAAAAATACTATTTAATGTAAAGTTTGTATGATTCTAAATAAAGACCTAAATTACGCAAGTTTTGTATAAATAAAATAAAATATTTTAAATATTTTTTTTAATAAAGTAAATAAATAAATAAATAATTGAATAATCATTTATTTGTATGATTTTTATAAAAATTAGATAACAATTTATCTAAAAAAAAAACTATAAAAGAGAATATTTCTTGCAAACTTTATATTAACACAAAAGAGTTTCACACAATAAATAAAATATACTCCCTTCGTCCTGGCGCAATGTTGTTGTTTACTTTTTACACGTAGATTTTTGAATATTAGTATTATGAGTTGTAGTGGAAAAGACGAAAATGCCCCTATTAATATTGTGTAATATAAAAGTAACGACATTTGTATAATATAGTATAAGTTAGAAGGGTATTTATTGTATGTAGTACAATTACTAAATTAGAAAATAAAAATCTTATTTTGAAACAACCTGGACGAATTTAGTATAATATTTTGTGTAATTTTTACTAAAAATATAAGGTGCTATATAATTTAGTTTAGCTATTAATATCAAACAGCCGCCATAACAAACCAGTCCAAACCACGCTCCGAAAAGCGTGGGGTCCAGAGGAGCTCCCGGGACCACCACCCATACCGGAACGCCCACAGGCCTCAGCAACACACCATGTGCTCTTCTTGCGAAAAGCATCTCTATCATACCATTCATTCATTCATTGCCACAGTACAACTAAAATTAAAATCAATAGTTAACTTAACTCAACTCATTTCAGTTGACAAAAACTGATCATCAAAAATCATTACAACTTAAAAAAATAAAAAAAAAAATAATAATAATAAAAATAAAATAAAAAGAAAGAAACACATTCTTTGTCCGAATCCCAAAACTTCACGAACTCAATTAATTAATTAAATTAAATTAAATTAATTATTCAGTCTAATTAATTAATTGATTATTAGATTCATACGAATCCACACACATGGACGAATAAAAGACGGGTCCCACAACAAATAATGATTCTGACAATGATAAACCCACTTTCTCTAATCATTCAATTCATCATATAATCGACTTCTTCGATCGAAACCCCTTCACTGTAATGCTCCGACAGCCTCTCTAATGGTGAAAGAATTTTGATCCAAAATGGCGACTGTTCTTCAAGACTTCATTTCTATCCACTGTTGGATTAGTTTTCTTTTTCTTTTTGCAGTTGGGGACAATTTTGGAACAGAAATCTCAGCCCTTTTGGATATCAAATCTAATTTGATCGATCCCTTCGATCATCTCAGCAACTGGAATGTTTCCGACAACAATGCTGCAAGAACGCCGGCGCCGGCGCCGCCGTATTGCAACTGGACCGGCATCGTCTGCGGCGGCGCCGGCGGCATCGAAACGTTGGACCTGTCGAACATGAATCTCACCGGAAATGTGTCGGAAAGGATCGGAGATTTGATCGGCCTTTCGCATCTCAACCTCTCCGGCAACGGCCTATCGTCGGAGCTTCCACGATCGCTGTCGAATCTGACGTCATTGAAGACGATCGACGTCAGCCAGAACAACTTCGCCGGAACTTTCCCGGCAGGCGCCGGAAAATTCTCCGGCCTGATTAGCATCAACGCTTCGAGCAACAATTTCCAGGGCGATATTCCGGCGGACCTCGGCCTGGCGGCCGCCCTCGAAAGCCTCGACTTCCGGGGAAGTTTTTTCCAGGGATCGATCCCCGGAACTTTCCGGAACTTGAAAAAATTGAAGTTTCTCGGCCTGTCGGGGAATAATCTCACTGGAAAACTCCCGCCGGAGCTCGGGGAGATGTCGGCGTTAGAGACGATGATTCTCGGATACAATGAATTCGACGGTTCGATTCCTCGGGAATTCGGTAACCTATCGAATCTTCGGTACCTCGACTTAGCGGTCGGGACGTTAAGTGGTCGGATTCCGACGGAGTTCGGTAAGCTGAAGAGGCTGACGATAGTATACCTTTATCAGAACAACTTCGGCGGAGAAATTCCGATGGAAGTCGGGAATATGACGTCGTTAGTTTATCTCGATTTGTCGGATAATATGTTTACGGGACGGATACCAGACGAGGTAGCGGAGCTGAAGGATCTGCAGTTGTTGAATCTAATGTGTAATAACTTGACCGGTCGGATTCCGGCAGGGCTCGGCGATTTGACGAAGCTCGAGGTCGTCGAGCTATGGAAGAACTCTTTGACTGGGGATTTACCGGCGAACCTCGGTAAGAACTCGCCCCTTCGATGGCTTGACGTCTCGTCGAATTATCTTACGGGTGCAATCCCGCCGGGTTTGTGCGATTCGGGTAATTTAACTAAGCTCATCTTGTTTAATAACTCGTTCTCCGGCGGGATTCCGATCACCTTGTCGAGCTGCTTGTCTCTTGTTCGGGTTAGGGTCCAAAACAACGATCTTTCGGGTGCGATACCGTACGGATTCGGAGCTTTACCGTTGTTGCAAAGGCTCGAATTAGCCGATAACAATATAAGCGGCGAAATACCGCAAGATTTCGCCCTCTCGATGTCGCTCTCGTTTATCGATATTTCCGGGAACAACTTGGAGTCGTCGTTACCGGCGAACATTCTTTCGATACCGAGTCTTCAGACATTCATCGTGTCTTCTAACAAACTTTGCGGAAACGTTCCGGATCAATTCCAAAATTGCCCATCGTTGTCTGTCGTCGATCTCTCGAACAACGGTTTCTCCGGGAGAATCCCTCGGAGTATCGCTTCTTGCGCAAGAATGGTGACTTTAAACCTCAGAAGCAATCGTTTCATCGGAGAAATCCCGACGGCCTTAGCCACAATGCCGACTCTATCGGTTCTCGACCTTTCGAACAACTCCCTCGTCGGGAGGATACCCGAGAACTTCGGAAGCTCCCCTGCCCTCGAAACGCTAAACGTATCGTACAATAAGCTTTACGGTCGGGTCCCGAGCAACGGGATATTATCAACGATCAACGTGAACGATCTCGTCGGAAATCCCGGCCTATGCGGTGGAGCGATACTCCCGCCGTGTCCGCGGGATCTATTCAGGGCATCCAGGTCGAGAAAAGCCCAAGTAAAAAACGTAGTAAGAGGGCTCGTCGTAGGGGTATCGGTCATTTTATCGCTCGTGATCATCGCTCTCGCAGGATTACAAGCGTACAAAAAGTGGTACTTATGCGGAAATGCGCTCACCGATTTGTTCAAGAAGCAAAACTCTGAGTGGCCGTGGCGGCTCGTCGGATTCCAAAGAACGAGCTTCAAGGCGTCCGACGTGCTCCCTTGCCTAACAGACGTAAACGTGATAGGCGTCGGTGGGACGGGAATCGTGTACCGGGTCGAAGTCCCGCCGCCTCACGGCGCGGTCGCCGTGAAGAAGTTGTGGAGATCGGGCGGCGACAATCTTTTCACCGAAGTAAACCTTTTAGGGAAGTTAAGGCATCGGAATATCGTAAGGCTTTTGGGGTATCTTTACAACGAGACGGATATTATGATGTTGTACGAGTACATGCCTAACGGGAGTTTAGGCACGGCGTTGCACGGGAAGCAAGCCGGGAAGATACTCGTCGATTGGGTGTCGAGGTACAATGTTGCACTCGGCGTGGCACAAGGTCTCGCGTACCTTCACCACGATTGTCGACCGCCGGTGATCCACCGCGACGTGAAGTCGAATAATATTTTGTTGGACGGCGACTTTGAGGCGAGGCTTGCCGATTTCGGCCTTGCGAGGCCGATGCTACACAAGAACGAGACCGTCTCGATGGTAGCCGGATCGTACGGATACATTGCGCCAGGTAAATTTTACCGTCGTCTTAAGTTCTGTTTATATAGATATTTTTATCATTTTCTAAAAAGTTATAAAATCATTTTTTATCGTAATATTCTTGAAAAATATTACATTCATCCGGCTCTAAGGAACACATTTACTTTTTGCGTATTGGTATTTGAATATTAACCATTATATCAAAACGTAGTACGAATCAAGAAAAAATGATAAAAATATCTCTATTAGTGTTTTATAATACTAATAGAAAAATATTTGTAAAAAAATTATATAACTAATATATTTTTAATGTTAAGTAGAATGATAAATGTAACGGAGTAAGGGTAGTATCATATTAAAGATTTTTTTATACATATAATATACCACACAAGATAATTTTGTAATATTTTTTTATAAAAGATTTGAAACTCTTGTTTAAAGAAGAAATTTTACTTTTACAGAAATTATTTGATTTTAGAATAGTATTATAGTTATTACGAAGTTTTAATGAAAAATAAAAATGGAATTCTCCTACTATTATATAAATTAACATTTCATACACATAAAAATCCACTTTTTTCTCTCTTAAACAATAATTGTAAAAAATTATTTTCTTAAAAATTGTTTTCTTATCCAAATATTTAGGTTTTGTTTATATAAGAGTTTTGACAGTTTTAAGATTTTGAAACATTTTGAAAATAATAAAATACTTGATATAAATATTTTATAAGATATTTTTTAAAAATTATTATTAATAAATAATGTCAAACTTAAAAGGTATATCTATTATATAGCCTCGTATAAAAAAATAAAATAAAATAAAATAAAATAATTCATATTCTTCTCAATTTTTTTTGTTGTTTTAAGTGATATATTTAGGCTTCTTTTTACTATTTAGTCTTTATTATTTATTTTCGATGATTTTAATAAACAATTTAGATAGCATGCTGAAATTAATAATTCAACATTCACAGTTGATTTATAAAAAATACATAAATTGACACAATTGCTCTTATTTAATTAAATTTTAGATTTAATTCAGCGTGCACTGAATTAAATTTGCATATCTAACATATAAACTAAAGCCTTTTACAAATTGTATCAATAAAAATAAAAGAAAAAATTTAATATAAAACAAAAAAACACATCAATATTTTAAAACATCTCAAAATAAAAATAATAACAAATAAATTGCAACAAATAATATATAATTCAATATACTTTTTTGGCCCGTAGAGTACGGCTACACATTGAAGGTAGACGAGAAAAGCGACATATACAGTTACGGAGTGGTGCTTCTGGAGCTTCTCACCGGAAAGGCGCCTTTGGATGCGTCATTTGGGGAATCGATCGACATAGTCGAGTGGGTTCGGAAAAAGGGGAACAAGGCCGTTTTTCTCGATCCTGACGTTGCAGGACAATGCGAGCACGTGCACGAGGAGATGCTTCTCGTCGTGAAGATCGCGCTTCTTTGCACGGCGAAGCTCCCGAAGGATAGGCCGTCGATGAGGGATGTCGTGATGATGCTCGGCGAGGCGAAGCCCCGGAGAAAGAGTGTTTGTGAGAGTTGGGGATATGGTGCAAATAAGGAGAGACTCATATTTGCACATTCACCTGTTATAGGCCTTCTTTAGATTTATATAATTACATATACATATGCATATATATATATACACTGTGTATTAAAAGTTGTATTTTTTTTAAATTTTTTTATTGATGTGAGAATCTGAAGTAAATTGGTCTGACAAGACAAGTCATATTAGGTGAATATGTGTAGTAAGTAAGATTTGAAGATATCAGAAATTTGAATATACTCTATCTATCTATTTACTTTTTCCACGGAATTTTAAAAATATTAGTATTATATTGGGATATAGTAAAAATAAAAGTAAAAGACTGAACTAACCTTATATTGTATGATATAAATGTAATGACATATGCGTAATATATTGTAAATTGAAAGAGTATTTGTAATGTCAAGTAGATAGCACAATTACTAAAATAAAAAAAGGAAATCGATAGAATATTAAGGAACTGATCAAAATGAAAAAATGAATAGATTATCAAGAGACAAAAGAAATATGATTTTACGGTCATGAATTCATCTTCGTACTACCGAAGCATCACCTACGAGACAAGTTAGAAGGTTTCTTCTTCAAATAGTCGGTAGTTCATTTTATTGGATATGTGTAAAGTTTTCTTGTTTCATATTTTGATTTGAATAGAAATGAAATGTATCATTGATCTTATATATTTTTCTGTGTCAATCGAATATTTTTTTTTTAGTAGATTAAAGAATAATACTCCAATCGGTCTCATCTCAAAGGAGCATAATATATTTATTTTTGGAAATGCTTTTTTTTTTATTTATTTTTATTAATAATAGAAATTTGGTAAATTTTGATAAAACAAGGCACCTAAACTTTTGGTTATTTATACCTATATATATAATTGGTGTAGAAGGAAGACTATCAATAAGTTTTTTTATTTTTATTTTTTAAGTATGATTATTAATAAAAATATAATCTATTCTAATTATATTTATTTAAATCAATATAATTTATTTTTCATTAAAAAAATTGAACAAAATATAATTAAAAGCTTCAAACAAATTTTCACTAAACTATAACAATATATTTTATTTTATTTTTTTAAAAAAGGTTTCAAATTGGGACTTGTTTGGACTTGAATTTTTGGATATTTGAAATCAAATTAAGCCTATCCAACACCATTTCAAAATTGGATTGGGCCGGCCCAACACAAAAATCGAACCGGCCCAAATTACCACATATATAGATTATCTAGATAATAATATATCTAAATAGCAATATATATATATATATATATATCCACCTGTCCAATTATGTCATTTTAGGATGTGTTTGGTAGAGATAAATGAGACAATATAAATGAAAATTGTCTCATTTCTTTTGTTAGAATTGAGAGTTGAGAAATAAACCATTTTTCATTCTCTAATTTCATTTGTCTAGCATATATATTTATTTATATTTTTTAATTTTTTGTATTATTTAATTTTTATATTTATTAAATTATATTATTTCAATTTTATAAAATATCACATTTAATTTATTATTCAAATATTTAATTTTTGTATTATTTTTAAAAAATTATACTAGAGTTTGATCTTACGAAACATCATATCTACTTTATTATTTAAACAAAAAAATTACAAAAGATAATTTTTTTTTTATTTTATAAATTCTCACTCGTTAGAATTTTTTATTGTCCGATTAATTATTTATTCTTGATCGATTCATCCAAACAAAATAATTAATTTTAATTCTCTCCTGAATTCATTTTTTCTTCAATTATATTATCTACTCTCATTTTTCGTCCTAATAAAAGTTGTTGCATAAAGTTCTTCCATACCAAGCGCCATATAAAGATGCATATTAGTATTTGGTAGATTATGAGCTATCTTTAATATGTACAAAAATATTACTCTCTCCGTCCCAGAAGAAGTGTCTTGTTGGAAGTTGGCACGAGAATTAAGTAATAATAGTATTTAATTGAAAATAAGTAATAATTATGGGTAGTTTGGAAAAAATAAGAATAATTTTATTATAAAGTGGGGACCACAGTTACTAAATAAGGAAACAAGACAATTGTTTTAGGACGGACGAAAATAGAAAAATAAAAAACTCTTTTGGAACGGAGGGAATATAATACCGAAGCTATTATTCTATAACAAGAAATCTGGACTTTAGGATTTAGGGTTTAGGGTATCAATAATATTATATACTCTCTTCATTCCATAACTAAAGTCTTAATTGGGTTAAACATGGGATTTAAAAAATATTGATATTTTATTGGTAGTTGGTAAAAAGTATAGATAAAAGACATTTTTGCTCTTGTGAGTGTACTAGTGTAAAAAGTAGTGACAATTGTGTAATAAAAATGAAAAAGTATGGGTAGTTTTATGGTGATATAGTTATTTATGGAAATAAAACCATTGTTTTGGGACGGACAAAAATGGTAAACAAGACTATCATATTGAGACGGATGGAGTATTATATTATTACAAACAACATACTGTATATGTTAATATAATAAAAATAAAATACATGAACAAAACGCACATGCTATAGTCTCAACAACACATAATATTACTACAGACAACACACAGTATTACTACAGACAACACATTATATGTTAATATAATACAAATACAACATATGCTATAGTCTCATCCAACACACACAACAATTGATTTTAGCACATGACATACTTGAATACAACACATTTGTTATTATTAAAAAAATAACACATACCTTTATTATACATAACATATGTTGTGTATAATACTAATGTGTATTGTTTACATATTTGACAAATCACCATCATAACCCTCTCATGTCCTCTCTCCGTCCCAATACAATAGTCTTGTTTACTATTTTTGTCCGTCCTAAAACAATAATCTAATTTTCATAAATAACCATATCACCATAAATTTATTCTTATTTTTTCATTATTATTACACAATTGCCACTACTTTTTACATTAATATACTCACAGGGGCAAAAAAGTCATTTATCCTTACTTTTTACCAACTACCGGTATAATATAAATATTTCTTAAATCTGGTGTTCAACACAATAAGAGTATACTTTTGGGACGGATGGAGTAATATACTCTCTCCGTCCCATTGAAAGGTTTCCATTTTTCATTTTTGTCCGTCCCAAAACAATGTTACCATTTTCTAATTTAGTAATTCTACTACCTACCTAACATAATAAATATCATTCCACCTTACACTATATTATATAAATGTCATTACTTTTATATTATACAATACTAACAGGAGCATTTTTGTCTTTTTTACTACGACCTATTATAATACTAATATTAAAAATTTACGTGCAAAAAATAAACAGTAACGTTGCACCGGGACTGAAGGAGTATATATATATATATATTGAAAACAAAAAAAGATTCATTTTAATAAAATACTAATGCAAACAAGCTGTCCTATCAGTTAATGGTGACAATATCTATACATATAATCCTCAACTGCTACTTATAATTAATTAATTAATTAACCACTCTAATTACTATATTATTATATTATATTATATTATATTATATATATAATCTCTCCTTAACCAATATCAAACTTGACAATTGATTCACTAATTTGATTGAATATAAAAATAGTTTGGAGTTAAGATAAAGGCAGCTACCATCTTGTTCATTTTTATTTTTTAATATATATATATATATATATATATTTATTCTTAATTAAATATGTTAAATTTATACGTGAGATGTTTTTTAAAATTATATAAATAATATAAAAACAATAAATACATGTAATAATATATTAATTTTTTTAGGTTAATTTTTTCAAAAAAAACATATTCATTGCTTTTTTTCTTTTTTTTTTTTCCATAAAAGTGAAACATAATTTGTTATTTCATAATTTAAATAGATAATAAATTATATTTATATATGTATGGGCTGTTTGTAGTTATAAAATATGTTGAATATTATGAAATATTGATCCATAACATATAAAATGATAACTAATTTTAATAATTTAATTATATTGTTCAATAATAAAAAATAGTGTTAAACTTTTTTATTTTTTATTTTTTATTTTTTAATTACCAAATATGTTGATTGTAGATGCACAATTTACAAATTTGTAAAATAAATTTACTAATGCAATTTTATATATATAGATAAGGAGTATATATTTATGTTAATATATATATATATCTATAAATATACATATAATATTATAGTAAATTAATAATATATATTAAAATTACAAATAAATTATTTAGCAAAAAAATAAAAAAAATTACAATTTCTAATTTGTGGGGGGTCCATTAATATATATATATTAATAAATAATAACTTCATATATAAAAATAAATATTTTAAATATGCTAAAATTACACAATATATTGTTATGAAATAAAAAAATAAAAAATTGTATTTTGATCAAGCAATTGTTTTTTTTTTAAAGATTTGAACAATATGTGTAATATAAAAATATGTTTGGTTTTTTATTTTCTTTCGAAAAATTGCATTTATCGGATGATTTAAGTTTAAAGTCTTGTTGTATAAATTTTGAAAATAAACTTAAAATGGTGATAAATGTAATATTTATGGCTATGACTTATATGTTGATACAATGAAGATTTGATTGATAAATTTATTTTAAAAAATGTTCGATAAATAAGATTTTTCAAGTAACAATAATTAAATTAGCAATTTTTTTTATTCTTACGCTTACTCTTTAATATTGTAACTTTATTATTTGTAAAATATGTTATAACTTTTAATAAATTATTACATTTATGATTTAAAATTAAATTTTTAAAAATATATTTTTTTAATTTTAGAAGGTCTATTGTTTTTTTATTTTTGTACGGTCCCCAAAATAGTACGGAGCGGTTCTGTTTGTTCCCTTCCAATATTATTTTTAACTAGAGTTTATACACGTACTTTTACAAATTAAATAAATTAATATATGAGCAAAACTCATAATTTACATTTTCATAATTTTTAGTTTAGTTTTATTTTTTTCGATTTAAAAAGTAATTTGGACCTAATATTTCATGAATATATATATATGAATAATCACAATAATTTCATAATTTAAAAAATTGAAATCAAACTCAAAATATAATTATTTTCCCACATTATTTTATCCAATTTACATAATTATTGGGTCATTTGCCATGTGTGTATTAGTTAAAATTGTATGAAATTATTTCGAGTAGTGGCGACGGATTCCCACGTCATAAAAAAAAAAAAAAAAATTGTATGAAATTATAAATAAAG